CACATTTTCAAACTTTTCTTCTGAACCATGAGGGCTAAGTGAAAATGAAAGCTGAGGTTCTGGTGTAATCACATGACTCCAGGAGCTAGAGGCCTGTGCCTTATCCAGCCCTGTGTGATTGAAGCATGAAGAGGGAAGTATGAGCAATCACGCTGTAGGTGTGGGTGGGAGGGTGCTTCTAGCGTGGATAGATGGGCACAAACTAACTCAGCTCGAGCTAGCGCCAAAACCAGTGTTTCAGCCTCGGCACAGGCGGTGGCTCAGGTTAGACCTCACAGTACGTGCCCAGGGAATCAAGCAGGATTGTAGTAAGGCCCTAACTGCTGTCACCACCTGTGCCAGCACGGCCACACCGCTGTTTTAGCTCTCGAGGAGAGCTAGCATGTGTGCATCTGCTCAGGCTGGGAATTGCCCACCTGGCTGCAGTGCAGACGTAGCCATCTCTGGCTCCAGTGAGGGGAGCGTTCAGGGTGCGAGGAAGGAGAGGAGTGGGCACTGGGGTGAGAGGAGGAGGGAGAGGGCAAGGAGGTGGTGTGTGGCAGAGGGGGAGAATCCAGGCCCACTGGAGAAAGGCAGGGGCTGGGTCAGGGGCTGAGGCCCTGCTAAGAACCCAGCAGGCAGGGAGCTGATCCCCAGGGCAGCCGGGCAGAGTCCACGACACAGGGCACGAGCCAGGTGCCACATAGGGTTGCCAAGTGTCCGGTTTTTGACCGGAATGCCTGGTCGAAAAGGGACCCTGGCGGCTCTGGTCAGCACCACCGACCGAGCCGTTAAAAGTCCAGTCAGTGGTGCTGCAGAGCTAAGGCAGACTAGTTCCTACCTGTCCTGGCTCTGCGCTGTGCCCTGGAAGCAGCCAGCAGGTCTGTCTCCTAGGTGTGTGTGTGGTGGGGGCACGGAGCTCCGCACGCTGCCCCCACCCTGAGCACCGGCTCCGCACTCCAATTGTCCGGAAACGGGGAGCCACGGCCAATGGGAGCTGCGGGGGTGGTGCCTGCGGGCGAGAGCAGTGCGCAGAGCCACCTGGCCCCCCCTGCCTAGGAGACGGACCTGCTGGCCGCTTCTGGGGTGCAGCGCGGAGCCAGGACAGGTAGGAAGCCTGTCTTAGCCCCCCTGCTGCGCTGCTGATTGGGAGCTGCCAGACATAAGCCTGTGCCCGAACCCCCAACCCCCCGCCACAGCCCTGAGACCCCAAAACCCAGAACCCCCTCCTGCACCCTAAACCCCTCAGCCCCAGCCCATAACCCCTCCTGTACCCCAATCCCCTGCCTCAACATACAGCCCCCTCCCCCAGCCAGGGAGGGGGAAGTAGTGAGTAGGGGGTGGGGCCTCGTGGAAGGGGCGGGGCTAGGGTGTTCCATTTTGTGAGATTAGAAAATTGGGGACCCTAAGCCCCATGCTGACCCTCCCCGCCACGGGGTCTGGGGGTCCCCTCCGCGCACGGCGGGACAGCCCAGGCGGGTGGGGGCCCCGGGGCCGCAGGGGCAGGGAATAACCCCCCGCTGCGGGCGGGCCACCAGCACCCGGCAGCTGCCCCCAGCCCAGCGCGGCCGCTGCGGCGCTCCCGCTGCCCGCCAGGCGGCGCTGCGCGCTCCCCAAACCCGCCGGCCCAGCCCGGGCGTCGCTCTCGGCGCCTCCGCGCTCGGCGGGGCTGGGACCGGCGTGTCGCTGCTGCTGCTGCAAGATGGCGGCGCAAAGGAGGAGCCTGCTGCAGAGTGTGAGTGAGAGCCCCCCCCCCCCGCGGCGCTGTGTGGGGAGGAGGTGACTCCTCTGCT